AGGAGGGGAGAACTGTTTGTCTCAAGTTGACCATTCAGAATTATATCTGTGTTTTTTAATTTGTTGATTTCCATAGATTCTAACAAAGATAGCTTAAGGCCTTTATTTTTAATGTGAAGAATTTTAAATCCGTCATTAAAAGAATGATTGTAGAATGATGTAGAATCTGTTTTTCTATTATTAAAAGCCCTTTTATGTTCGGCTATTCGTTTATTAAAAGTTCTACCAGTTTGACCGTTGTTAAGTTTGTACATACTCCTGTGTAAGTGTTTTTTATTTTAACTCTCGTTGTTTTTAATATATTTGCTTACGTTGTTATTTGTTCTGAAAGCTAGTGTTATTCCTTTCTTTTTTATGTGTTTGGCTATTTTTGTTGATATTTTGCCTGTATGTGTAATCGAGCAGAAGGTACTGAGTTTTTTCTCTGGTGGTGGAAATACCAATTTCAGGGCTTTCTTGTGTAGTTTTTGATTTGTAGTTTTTGATTTTATATTGTTTGTTCGTTGTATCCATTGTTTACTGCTATTTGATTAATGATATTTAATTCTGTCTCAAAGTTGTATTTTAAAATCGGAATTTCTGTTAATCTATGTAATACTATGATAGGCTGTCAGTTTATGTTGTCTGGGATAGGATGATGAATTGTGTATAGTCATGTCAGTATGGATAGGTTTCTGAAATATGGAGAAGTCGTGTTTGTTTTTAAGTCTGGAAATTTTTAAATTTAAATAATTTTATGGATTGATTTTGTTTTGTTTCTATTGTAAATTCAATAAGACTATGAAGTGAATTAATATACGACAAACATTGGTCGAGTTAATAAAAACTGTTTTAATATGGGATGTTTTAAAATCTTTGTCTCTACATAGTCCATAAAAATATCTGACTGCAATGGGCTTAGAAGATTGCCCATTATGCTCTGCACTGTTATTTGTGTATATTTAATTATTAAATTCAAAGTAGTCCTGGTTTATGCAAACTTCGAGAAAATTTCAGATGTAATGATTGGATCTGTGCTATTTTGGTCTTAAAGGTTTTTTACTAGAATAAAAGTTTCTGTAGGAAGAATACAAGGGAAAAGGTTTTTTACTACCTATATATAATAATAATAAATTATAATAAACTTATAATTAATTTTTTTTCTGTTATATTATTCAAAAGAGTCAACACCTAATTCTACATTGCGTTTTTTATATTGGTTTCGACACAATTAGTACAGAAGTTTAAAATTTTAGAACACATCTTCCTCTTTTATTATTTTTATTAAACATACCCAATGATATATAAGATCACAATGGAAATCGGCATATTTTTTTTGATCTGATGAGAATTACAGAATATGGTCGTCCTCAGAAGAGTTTTGTATTTTATTAGGTAAATGCTTGTAATAACTGCATCAATTATTATCAATATAAGAAGTGGCCAGTACCAAAATTTTAATATAATCGAAATCCTTCTTGTCGCAATGTCTTCCTCCATAACAACTGTTCCTCCCGTAAACTTATTATATTTTTACGACAGATTTATCAACCAAATGGATAGGTACCAGTCGATCTTTATTTATTATACGTTAATAGCTTCGTATTTGTTCATATTTCAAAATTCTGTAAATAGTTTAATACATTATGCAAACAGCAAACTTTATAACCAGATCATATTCTGTTTTTTTAATAAATTGTTTGTAATGATGTCAGCCATAGTATGTTACCATCAACTCGTTATAGTTTATATTTTTTGTTAAAACGGAGTACTTGGAAAACTAACCTCTAAGTTTTGTTATCAATAGAAATAATATTGACAATTTATTATTTTTATTACTTGTAGAGTTACATTTCATAGTTTCTCGTATATGTAAAAACACATAACCAGAAACAGTTCACAATATTTATATTTGTTTGAAGCTTTAACAAGGAAATATATCATATTGTTATCAATGAAAAACTCAAACATTTGGACTGACGAGTATTGAACTGTTTAAATTCTGCGTATCTTGGTATAGAACAGTCTTTCCCAGTATATTGAAAATCATACGAAATTCAATTGCTTTTATTATTTTAATTAACAAAAAGGTCTATGGTAGCTTCCATTCAGTCAAGCCTTTTTAACAAAATCTATTATGACCTTAGTAGAAATGGCAGGACTATAAAAACAAAATCTCACTGTTACACTTCTGAAGAAGTACCACGCTGCGTAGAAGTTCTTGATGTCTGTTCAATGATGAAAGAGGAGATTTAGAAGAAATAGGTCCAGATACTACAAAAGAAGAAATTCTACACGCATTAAAATTATTGAACAGTGGAAAACCTCCGAACCTAACATGCTTCCCAATCACTAAAAATTATAGATCAGCATTATGTCAGCATATAATTATAAAAAGTTCATGGACATCAGACGTTACAAATAAAGAGTTACTGAACAAAAAAAAGGAGGAAATAAAAATCTTAAATACAATAAAAACAAAAAAAATGGAATATCTCAGGCATGTTACCTGTGGAGAGTGATACATCTTGCTCCAACTCATTATGCCGGGAAAGATCTAAGAAAAAAATAGAATATTACGGCTTTTAAACTTAAGATAATGGTGCACAGGCACATCTACTGAACCTTTCGGAGCAGCCTTCTCTTAAGTCCAAATAGCTATAAAGATAGTCGTACAGCTTAAGTTAATAATACTTTGTAACGTTATAAAGGTCACATCTTTATTAATTCATTAATTCCTTTACGTTCAGTTTCGTTTTTTTATTTTTTCTTTAAAATAGTTGTTGGCGCCCTTTTTCTCTTTTTGTCCCGTAAAATAAATATTCGCCCTCTCTCTTTTTCTGTCCGGTATAATAGGTATTCGCTCTTTTTCTTTTTTATCCGGTAGAATAAATATTTGCCTTCTCTCTCTCTGTCCGGTACACTTAATATTCTGTTCTATGTTGACAGAAGAGCTAACTCCATCATAGGCATACGTCCTATGTCATCTGTGCTAACTACATTGCAGTCTCTTCCTACTTTTTGTCAATCAACTTCTCTGACGTAGTTTGAATATAATTTTTTGCCTGATTTTGAAATTAGTAAAAGAAGTCAAAAATTATTATAAGGTTCATTTTACTGTCTGCAGAATTTTCTTGGGTTTGTTGGCTGTAATAAAGATTTTATTGGCTGTATTGAAACACTTTATTGGAGAATTTATGGAATAACTGCAACTGTCAGGAGGACCTAACAATGCTGCCATAAGTATCGTCCAAATTTATTTACTGTAAAGCATTGGCAATTTTGATTATTTTTTATTTTTAATAAATATGATTAGTTACGTAATTGTTTTATTTGCTGTCAGCTAAGGGTTTATGGTTTAATTCATAGTTTAAGAAAAGGCGAATTTACACTTGAGAGACTGATCTAGGCGAAGTATAGAAGATATGCTTCCACTGCGAAGTGGATGCTGATAAGCAAAAAGCAAAAACCTGCTCGACAATTACGGATAAGTAACATACTAATTGATCATGTAGACTCTTATGTAGACCTTGGCACCAACGTAAATGCAAAATGGGAACAGACCATAGAAATGAAGGCGAGAATAGAACGAGCTAGAGCAGCATTTAGCAATATGAAAAAGCTCCTCATAAGCAAGGATTTGTCTCTTCCCCTAAAACTACGTCTATTTAAATGCTACATTTTTCCGATCTTGCTGTATGGCGTGGAGGCCTGGGCGCTGACGGAGACGCTAACGAGGAAACTAGAAGCATTCGAAATGTGGATGTACCGACGCATTCTTCGTATATCCTGGACCGAACATGTCACCAACATAGAGGTACTCCAAAAAATCGGAAAGGAGAAAGAGATCGTGAATACAATTAAACAAAGAAAGCTTAAATATCTAGGCCACATATTGAGACACAATAAGTACCGTCTGCTACAATTGATAGTCCAGGGAAAAATAGACAGTAAGCGAGGGCCAGGCAGGAGAAGACACTCGTGGCTCCAAAATCTGCGGAAGTGGTTCGGGCTCACATCGGTCGAACTATTCAGAAGCGCCGCAAACAAGATCAAAATTGCCATGTTAATAGCCAACGTTCGCAACGGACAGGGCACTTTAGAGAAGAATAGAAGATAAGCTCCAATGGTTGATTGAGGTATTATTTTTATAATAGTATTTCAATTCTTTTTGGTGGTCCTATCGTTACAGCTTAAATATATTAAGCCTTATCCCATTCAACTCTAAGCATTTGCATAGAACGTATTGAACTGCCTCGTCATCAGTCTATCACAATCTGCATATTATTTAAATGGATTGGGTTTATGTGGTCCTTGACACTACTCTGTCTTGTTAGTAGACCTATGATACTACGACTTTCCATTTCATGTCTTATAGATATTTGGATCTCGTCTCCAAAGGCTAATGTATAAAAACCTTTAAATATTTGAGACCCACTTATTTGTAATAGTGCTTACGTTTCATCAGTTCCACCTAATTCGATATTGTTCTTTCGGCTTAGCTTCTCGCTATGCTGAAAAGTTCTAGGCCTATGAATGTTTCTTTTGCTCTTTTTCTGGCAAATAGTTCCGCTTTTAAAGTAAACTAACTTTGTTACTTTTTCTTGGTCCAAAACATATTCTGAATAGTTCCAAACTAACGTGGAGATAATTCGATTTCACTTAGGAGCCTTTAATGCAGCCTACCGACTGAAAATCATTTTTATAGATCTGTCGCTGCCGTTATCCTTTATTAATTTGTTCGGGAACATCGCTATAGTATTTTTCGCTTGAAAATGGTAAAGTGATTACCTAGACGTTTATCCTCCCGTGAGAACTGTATTGCAAACATTTTTAAATGTAATCTACAATTCGGTGTATTTTGTAAAATTTTTATTTAATTACAATATGCACTGGTGGACCTACAACTTTATAAATAGTTTCCAGGTTTTTCCCGTGAAAAAGTTTGTTCATCCAGTACATAATCATCTCTTACTGTCTATCGAATATTTATGATTAGCAGGAAATAAAAACAAATATTTAATATAAAAAATATACTGGTAATATAAAAAAATTTGTTTTAAATAAATACTTATATAATGTTTAATAATAAACTAGCATGTTTATATCAGCTCCTGATCAGTTTTTTCATCACCGGACTCTAAATCCGTTTGGTTTTTATGAGCGCCCTCTTTAGCGGCAACACTTTCTGGTTCATTCGATCGGCTGCTCACTAATATAATGCTCCTACAATAAAAAAGCAATATGTTTAGTTTTCAATCATTAGAATCCATGTAGTATTTTAAATATGTAAATAAATTAAAATAAAATAAAGGAAAATTGGATGCAAATAATCAAAAACATTAGAGTCGCCACTAAATAGAAATTTTACACATCCCGCTGTTCACGAGATTTACTGGTTTTAAACTGGTGTTAAATTTTCATTAAAATGTAGAATAAATGTAACTAAGACCTAAGACAATAGCAAAGAAAATAAAAAAAATCTAAATAGAAGGTCAATTTCACAAAATACACAAACGATAATCGAATATGCTTTAACTTGACAATTTTTCAATTGACGTTATAAAACTGACTAACCAGAGACACTTTTTAAAAATTTTCTAACAGAGAGTTTATTAAACTGCTTAAATACCACATACATAACCATTCCAAAGACCGCAAACGTCAAACACTGTAATACGTATCTCACGATAAGCCCAGCGTTAAAATTGTTTCTAAAAATTACATATCACAAACCATGTATCAAACTTTAGAACGTCGTGTTTAACATGGTCCAATGGTATGTCCAATGTTTGTTAGTTGCATGTCCATAAGTCGTCGAAAGTGTAAACATGAAGCCATATTCTGTGTTGCTCATCTATCATGTTTGCTGTCATTTATCGTCATCAGGACTGATTTAATCAGTTTTGACTTATCAAAAGGTGCTACGCCAATTTCTAAGTGCTTCAGAATGAACCATGTCGATCAGTCGCTTGAAATTCGGTTTGGTTAAGTTTCTTTTTATGTAACAGGCTTGTGGTTTGTGTATCAAGGCATAGAGGAAGCGCTTTTTAAATTTCAGTCTGTTAGGACACGGTTCGTCGCCAAAAAGAAGGTAGCAAAGGTTTATTTCGTTCTTTTGGTGAATTCGTGGTTCGTCCTACTGAAGTCAGGATCTGAGAGGCCTAAATCTTTATAGTGTTTATCCAGAGGATTTTTATTATTCAGGTTAAAATTTATTTTTCTGGCGCGTGCACATATCTTCTACCTTTTATGTGTATTCCGATGTCGAGAAACATAGTGCCTGCGCTATTATTAGTAGTAGTGTGAATTTGGTGTCCCATTTATTACTGCCAAGTATCATTTTCTAAGGAAAAATATTTAAAGACCGAGGTAAAGGACGTAGAATCCCATCCTGATCAGAAAACATTCGAACCCAGTTCAACACAATATTTATGTGCAACTGTTCCGCTCTGCTGCATATAGGAAAAAGATTGCCACGATGATCGTTTACATTCATCACGGATAAACGCATAAAGATAAACAAGTTTTCTTTAAAATTTGTTGTGTGCACATATTTTCTTTCCGGTTTTTTTTCGCAATGGAACCTATGTATGTTATCAAGCGGTCTAGTGTGAGTCCCAGGTATGTTGGTTTTTCGACGTGCACCACCATAGTATTATAAAAGGTGATGTTACGTTTCTTTATAACCTTTTGGGACTTAAATTGGATAGCGCAGACCTGAGTTTAAGTTGGGTTTGGTTTAAGCGATTTTTATTATATTAACCATAAATTAAATTCAGGCAGTTTGCATTTCTTGTTCCTCCTTTTTAAGGTAACGACTTAAGCTATAAGCTTAAGTTGTCTGTGTAGGTGAAGTTTTTTGTCAAAGTTGGCATTGGTTAGTCGTTTCTGTTCAAGCAAAAAAGTCTAGGTGTTAGCACGCTATCCTAAGACAAAGGACATTTTTTCTTCTCAAGACTTACCTAGAATCGTCTGTTATGCAGTAGTGACTCCTCTATTTTGCTTAGCTGGTAGTTGTGAAAGTAATATAGATCTGCAGGTTTCTGTGATCACCAGTGTCATATGCGGCGCCTAGCTTGACAAGCGCTAGGCGTGCCATCTTTTTTCTACAGATTTCTACAGATTTGTTGTAGATGTGTTACGTTAAAACTAGAATTTGGCTGGTGCAGGTCCTTTCAATTCTTAAACCAGCTTGCTGTTGCATGGTTTTTGAGTCCACTGCGTTTTCTATGTAGTGCAGAATAAATCTTTCATCAGCTGATATAGGTGGCAGAGAAGTGACATGGGGTAGTAACCTTTGTTGTTCCTGGATCTTTCCCAGGTTTATGTATACCTAGTACGGCCACTTTTTCTAACAGTTGGTATTTCGAATGTCGTTATAAAGTTATTAAGCAGACGTAGAATTCAGCTAGTGCCCACTCTACACCGTTTCCATTTTTTAGTAAGTTTAGTCTTTTGTTTAGTTCCTTTATGATGCAAGGTATATAAAAGTACTTTTTTTTAGGTTATTGGGGAGTACTAAATATCTATTTATACTATAAACAGCGAGCAAAAGTACGTGTTAACCAACAGCTATCAGAATAAATTTAAATTAGATATGGAGTGAGACAGGGATGCATATTGTCGCGAATTCTTGTTAATGCCAATTCCGAAGAGATCACCCTTGAGGGTGAAATAGCTAGAATAAAGGTAAATGGAGTTTTCATTATTACCATTAGATATGCGGGCGACACTGTGATCTTAGCCGAAAACATTGAAGATCTTCAAAGACTGGTGACCAGAATAGCAGAGTATGGAAAAGAGTAAGGTCTAACAATTAATGTTAAAAAGACGAAATTTATGAGAATATCGGAAACTCAAAGAAATAACGAGAATCTTTTAGTAAACGGAACCAACGTCGAACAAGTGGATAAATATGCATATCTGGGAATAATGAATACCTCCACAAATGATTACATTTATAAATCAAAATCAGACTAGAAAAGGCTATAGAAAATTTAAACAAAATGAGAAGAGTGCTATGTACCAGGGATTAAACTGGAACTAAGAGTTAGGTTGGCGAGGTGCTATGTTTTTTCGACTTTATTTTATGAAATGGAATCTTGGACCTTGAATGCAACATCAATAAAAAAACTGGAATCATTCAAGCTGCGGATGTATAGAAGAATTCTGAAACTATCGTTGACAGAACACGTGACAGAGATTCTGAGAAGGATAAATAAAGAAATAGAAATTTTAAATAAAATTAAAAAATGAAAATTAGAATATCTCGGACATATTTCACGTGAAGAGAAATACACCTTGCTCTAACTGATTATGCAGGGAAAGATACAAGGAAAGAGAAGCATAGAGAGGCGTAGAATGTCATGGCTGCGCAACCTAAGAGAGTGGTACGTATGTACATCAATGAACTTTTCAGGGTAGCCGTCTCAAAATCCGAATAGCTATGATGGTTGCCGATCTGCGAGATGGCACTTGAAGAAGAAGGATACCTGTTCTTCTGGAGGTGCTGTTAGGTTTTTGCCGTTATGAAATATTTGGCGAGCTATCTCGTTGGGAGTAACGAGTAAAAAGACTAAACTGATCTATCTAGAAAAATACTAATTCAGCATACAAATTTGGTATGCTGAATTAGTTATTACAAAACGGTGAATATATTAAAAAAGTTGAAAAATGTAAATATTTGGAAATGTCTGTGAGGGAAAGAAGTGATCGTTCAATATAAATCACAAAAAGAAATGAGAAAATAATAAACGCATTTATAAACAAAAGAAGTTAAAATGTTTCATATATTATGTCACATTGTGCAATTTAGGGAATTAGATCAAAAACTCTGGTGTAATAAAATTATGAATTTGATTTTTTTTCTTTTATTCAATTTATTTAAGGAACATACTCCGAAAAAAAAAATTAGTATTAAATGTAAAAACTGGAAAACTACAATATTTTGTTACGAGAGGATACAAATATCAACTTTTAGAAAAAGAAAATTAAAAATAGAAGTATATGAAGAAGAAAAATGCCTTAGCAGAAATTTCGAACAACTATTTTGTGCAGCACAGACCCTCTGGATATTATTTTTTTTTAAATGCTATATAAAAATATTGGAAAGAAATATATTATGCAACGAATGACGTAAATCAATCGTCTTAATTATTCAATTTGCATCTTTTAAAGATATTTTTAATTGGATTTTTTTGAGCTGCCCGAGAAAGTACAAATTTTAAATAGATGATATCTAGCAATGTAATAATTTCATCAATATCTCTGTAAATAAGGAGAATACTTACAATACAAGTGTAATAGCTACCACATCCAATCCAATAGATACATAATTAAACACTCCTGACTTGGTCTGGGTATAAATAAGACTAAATGCAAGTCCACCCACCATCTGCAGAAGACTATTAACTACAGTAATTAAAGAGAATATTTTTCCCATTTCCTCTCGGGGTAAAATCTTTGCTATTGAAGTTCTTATCATAGGATTAATGATTCCTCCGCATATTCCAATGAAGACAGCTGAAACAATAAAATAAATAAATGTATTTTGTATAAGGTAGTGCTTTAGAACAAGTTAAAAACTACCAGTATCTTGGCACAATAATTAATCACACAAACGATTACTCCAAAGAACACAAAGTTCAAATAGAGAAAGCACGTACAAACTTCAATAAAATGAGAAAGGTACTTTGTGCAAGAGAACTAAAATTGGACTTGAGAGTTGGGCTGGCAAGGTGTTATATTTTCTCGACTCTGCTTTATGGGATGGAAGCATGGACACTTAACGCGTCGACTACTAAAAAGTTGAAAGAATTTGAAATGTGGGTGTATAGAAGAATCCTGAAGAAATCATGGACCGAGCATGTGACATACAACGAAGTCATGAGAAGAATCAACAGAAGAATGGAAGTATTGGAAACCGTCAACACACGAAAGCTGCAATACCTAGGGCATGTAATGCGTAATGAGAGATACAACCTACTTCAATTGATTATACGAGGGAAAATCCAGGGCAAAAGAAGTGCAGGAAGAAGAAGAATCTCATGGTTGCGTAACTTGAGGGAGTGGTACGGATGCACATCAATTGAACTAATCAGAGCAGCAGCATCTAAGATCAGAATAGCCATGATGATTGCCAACCTCCGTCGCGAAGATAGCACGTGAAGAAGAAGATTTTGTAAAACGTTTTGGAATCCATGTTCCATCATCAGTGTCCTAAAGAGTATATAACCGCTTAATTAAAAAGATCGTGAAATTTTAATTTTGATCAAGGTCAAAACGTGAAACCTTGGACAAAATTTAAATTTCACGTTCTTTTTAATTACGTGGGTACCTATATACTTTTTAGAACACTGATGATGGAACATGGATCACGAAAACGTTTTGTAATGTAGCCCGATTGGGTTTTTAAGTTATATACCTTTTATAAAGGATTTTAATAAATTCTTTGTGATACATGGTGTAACCTCGGAAATCTTTTTGGATGGTGCTGGAAAGGTCACCAATAGAGACACTGCAGACGGCAGCCAGATGGTTGGTGGAGAGCAAGTCGTGGGAGCAAACTACCCAAGAACGCTGGGATATCTCCCACTCACAAACGACAGGTCAGCTTGTATGTATTTCTAAGAAGGTAATGTTCTAACGACTATCGGAAAGTTCGAGGTAAATGCGGCACTAGTAACTGGACGTGAGGAAAATAAGTTCTTTTGGATTAGGTTCTCTTCAGAAAAATTACAACGTGCTTTCAACGACGTTCGCCAAAGTATTAAACAGAACCCGCTTGAAAACCGGAAAAGGATTAACTAAGGATTAAACAAACCGGCGTCTTGAAATAATTAGAAAGATTCCTCCATAATATTTCGGTAGTTTCCAATAAAATTTAACAACCTACTTGCGAATACGATAATGGGCGTATCAGCAACGGTGGTACAAGAATTAAAAATTATTTAATATTTTAATTACATAAAAAATGTTACAATGGTATACAGCCAACTACAGGAACTTAGTTTCCTTGTGGAAAATCATCTTTAAATTTTAGATTAAAACATATCTAACGGTAATTTCCAAAAACACACCAGTTTACACTACTGGAGTATTATAGAAAAAATATAGTAAAAAACAATTTTATTTAACTTGTAATCTTATGATACTACAAACATTAATAAAAGTCCAAATATATCAAATATGAAATAACGGAATAAAAATAACGCAATAATAAGCATCTACAACAAGACATCAATAATAACCTATATAGAAGCATTTTATTTCAATAGTTTAAATATATGAAAGTCGTTTTACGAGAGTAATTCACAAAAATTGACAATATCATTTAAAGATCATCTACTTTCAATTTATAACATAATATGTGTAAATCGTTAAAATGAAGGGAGATAAACTTAAATTTTTAGAAAAATGTGTGTATTACCAGGTAAAAAACCAAAATAGTTTGTTTAATTTATATTTTGAGAACGATTTCAAAACGTCAATATAAACGTATTTTTAACTAAAATTGTAGTTAATTTTCAATAAAAATTATAATAATAAAAGATCAAATAAAAAAGTGCATATTCTATAAAATATAAGGAATTATATCGCCTAATTTAAATTTTATTGTAGTTTTTAGAAAGTGATCAGTTTAACAGAATATACTTACTTGTATAAATATGCCAGTTTTCTGTTGCCAATGCATAAACAAGCGAAGAACCAATAGCACTAATAAATCCAAGAATAACTAAAGACGCTTCTTGTATCTGTAGTTTTTTGTAGAGTATGAACATCAAACTAATTGTACCCCCCATTCCAATTACGCTAGACCAACTAGTAAATACATTTTTGTCGGTCTGAGACCATCCAAATATATTTCGTAGATACATAGTTTTTACATTGCCGTCTCCTGTATTTACTGTATTTAGTATAAACAAAATACTAAGCCAAGTTAACAAAATATATCTTTTGTTGTTCGGTCTTTTTGTACCAGCAACTACGAATAATTCTGTTAAGTTTTTGCACGTGAATACATTTGACAATGTCGCTTTATTATTATGGTCGATTTTTAATGACTCTGGTACCCAAAAGTATGTATAGATGGTAGCTAGTAGTATTAGAACGCCGCACAAACCACCGACTGCAGCATAGCTTGTAACATATAATAGAGGGGTGCTGCTTAAAGTTCCAAAACACGTACAAAATACCATTATAACCTCAAACACTGCCATCCTAAAACAAAATATAAAGTTCTATTATCTTATTTTAAAAAAATATGATACATAAAAGGTTACCAAATATTACGGCAGAAATATGTAAGATACACTAAAATATAAACATGAAACAAATATCATTCCAAAGTAAGTCGAAAAATTAAAACTCTATTGATGAATGGTATAAAATGCGAAGTATGAGATCATTAGTAGATAAGAAGAGAAAAAAAAAATAAAACTAGAAAAAGAAAATATCTTTAATCATACGATTCTAAAGAACGCAGCGCATAGAAAGTTATCTAAAAGAAAAAGGCTTTTTTAAAAACTATTTGTAAAACTCTTTGATATGCTAAAAGACTGCAACCGAGTTCTTGCTACAAAACAGGAGATTCTTTCTCGTGATAAAAGGAAAGGAAAGATAGAAAGAAAACATCACAATTGTCTGGCTCAGGATAGCATCTTAGCCAACATAATCTTTCATTAACTTTTAATAAAGTGAATGACCAACTACAACAGGTACTTATTACTATGCTTAACTGCTATCGAAACAATTTATTTAAACCGAATCCAACGAAGACGCAGGTAAGCTATTTTTATCTCTGTATCTGCCAGCAAACAAAAGATTCCATGCTAGTTGCGATGCTATCACTCTCGAATTCATGGAGAACCAACTTATCTAGGTATTACGCTATATACGTCGACATAAAGATACTACTAAAATTACACGTTAGATAGTGGCAGCCAGAAACATCCTCGAGAAATTCTATTGAAGATGCATTGCACCTCTGTGTTGTGTCTGATAACTTAATTTGGAACTCGGTACTTTTGACTTATTCTCAACAATTAATCTTTTCATCTCATGTTAATCCCAGCTTATCTCCATTCTATGTTATTAAGCTTATCTTATAGGAGGACCAGAAATATTTTTGAAGAGAGTGTATTACCTTGGCTGCTTTTAGAAGGATGTCCAAGGTGTTATGTAACAGAGACCTAAAATTAACATTAAGGATCCGCCTACTTCGCTGCTACGTGTTCTCGGTCTTACTTTATGCTGTCGAGTCCTGGACTGTGAATAAAATCGATCTAAATCGCCTTGAGGCTTTCGAAATGTGGTGCTATAGAAGAAGAGAAGATTCGTAACTCCACAATACTAGAACGTCTCAGCAAGACTACTGAGATCATAAAAAGCATCAAGCAGAGAAAGCTGGAATATTTCGGACATGTAATGAGAGGTCCCAAATATAGATTGCTACAAAATATCCTGCAAGGAAAAATAGCAGGCAAACGCAGTCCAGGACGAAGAAGAACCTCATGGTTGAAGAACTTGCGAGACTGGTATGGTGTAGATACAAGCATGCTATTTAGGGTGGCAGTGAATAAAATTAAAATAGCTATGATGGTAACCAACGTTCTGAAAGGACATGGTACATGAAGAAGAAGTATTACCTTGTTTTACCCCTTTGCCTATGTTGAATTTGTTATTGTATTGATTTTTTGGCATCTTACCGTTTGGTGTTACGTTCTTGTAAGTATATTAGATTGATACTAAGTATCTATCTATGGTCTATATATCTATAGACTCATATATATGGTCTATTCTACATTTGGCTAAGTATATCAAGAGTTTTCTTGAGATACTGAGTCGAAGATATTTTTAAAGTTTACAAAGACAAACATAAAAAGTTTTTTTTTTTAAATTGATGCCACAAAAAATAAAGTTAGTAATAATTTAACCTAGCATTAACTAAAAACTAAGGCAGGGTAAATCTTGCACTAAATGTAAATATTATGTAAAGTAATAAAGCATTCTAATTATTCGTTAGTAGCAAATACTGAAAAATATTTAAACCAAAAAGATAAGCACTGGTGACAAGATCTTAATGAAAATAGGAACGAAAACAGAGTATTTGGACTTATAATTTAAGTATGGAGTTCGTATTTAATTATTTTTGGATAGTGAAATTATTGCGTAAAAAGTAACAGTTTTAAGTATCTCGTATCAGTATTACAAGTAATGGGGAAATAGATGAAGTTGCATGCAGTAGAATTAGGATTGGATAGATGAAGTGGAAGGAAACGAGTGGTGCATTGTGTGACGGAAAAATGTCAGTAAAACTGAAGAGACATTCTATAAAACAGCCACAATATCAGCTATGATATACAGAACTGAATGATGCGCAATTAAAAATAAAGAGGACCAACGAATGCATGTAATGAAAATAAGATAGATAAGAGTGATGAGTGAAGTCACACAAGAGGATAAAATTAAGAATGAGTATATTAGGGGAAGTTTAGAGGTGGCACCAATCCATACCAAAAAAAGGGAAGGCGTAGCTTAAAACGGTTTGGTCATGCTTAACGTAGAGATGGTCTAAACACTTTTAAGTCTGTTTATAATAAACAATTGCCCTTTTTTGCTTATTTGTTAGATAATTACGTAGGAAATAAATAAGAATATTTTTGCTTATGTTGGCAAAAGCATGTTTTTTGGCTAATAGTAAAAAGATGTAAAAATCAATGTACTTACTTAGTACTACAAATAAAGTACAACAGTTAAACCAAAATAAAATAAAGTAATACGTTTGAGTTTAATTGAAAATTAGTTAGTTCAGTCTACAGCAGTATTGTGTAAGTTAAATATTTAACTTAACAATATTGTTTAATTTTCACTTGTTTGAATGTTAAACAAATGTTTATGCCCACATATTTAGTGTACCTATTTGATATCCTTTCATTAAACTGAAAGGATATCAAATATATCAAGCTCTTTACTGGAAACACAGCTAGTGGAGGAGCAGCAGTAACATTAAAAAATAATATAATTTACTTTTTCTTCTTCTGCTTGTTCTTTTTGTATAGACATGACTTTCGTGGTCTTTCTACCGATCGTCTTCCAATTGGGAAACCGTCTCTTTCCATATTTAAAATTCTATTTGTTGGCATTCGGCTTATATGATCGTTCCATTCTACTCTTCTATTTCTTACCCAGTTTTTGATTTTCTCTACCTTGCATCTTTGTCGTATATCTGTTCTTCTAGCTGTCCCATAGTGTCTTTCCATCAATTTTTCTAAGTGTTGTCATCTCTGTTAATTTTAACATCCTTTATGTCTTTTCTGTGTCAGGTCTTGTTTCTGACAAGTATGTTATTATTGGTCTGATGACTGTTTTGTAAATTCTACCTTTCGTTTCTTTTCCGATATTTTTATTTCTCCATATTGTTTCATTTAGGCAGCCTGCGGCTCTGTTTGCTCTATTCACTTGATCTTCCACTTCGGTTTGAGCTTTCCGTAGCTAGATAATGTGATGCCTAAATATTTAAACTCCATCACTTGTTCTATTATCTGACCTTCCAGCTCCATTAATATTCAGGTTAAACAATAAAGGACTCAGGGAATCTCTTTGTCTTATCCAATTGTCAGCTTCAATAGGGTTCGTTAGTTTTTCTACTACTTTTACTTTTATTGTGTTGTTTTGGTAGATATTTTCGATCATTTTGATTATTCCTAAAGGTGTCTCTCTTGTATACAGTAGGTGGATTTTTTTAACCTATTCCCTATCCTTTCATTGTTGGATATAGGTCTCCCCCAGTTGTCTCCATCTTTCCCTATCTTGAGCTGTTCTCTGCGATGTGGGACCTCCTTGTTTTCTAATGTCATCTTTCCACCTCATCTGTGGTCTGCCTCTTGATCTCTTTGCATTGTATGGACGCCACTTTCCGATGGCATTGTTTCATCGTCCGTCTTGGAGACGTTCATTGTGTCCAGCTCATTTCCATTTCAGTTTTGCTGCTTGTTCTATCGCGTCTGCTGTCTTTCTTCTGGCTCTGATTCACTAGTTACGTTTTCTATCTTTCAGTGATATACCCAACATTTGTCTCTCCGTCGCTCTGTGTGCCTTTCTTATCCTATCCAAATTGGCCTGTGTAAATATCCATGTCTGTGCTCCGTAGGTGAGCACCGGTATTATACAGAAGTTATATACCTTGCTTCGTAAGTATAGAGGGATTGTTTGATTTTTTAGAACGTAAGAAAGTTTGCCGAACGCTGCCCATCCCATTCTTACTCGTCCCGATATTTTGGCTGTTTGATTTTCACTGTTAGGTCTGATTGCTTGTCCTAGATAGATATACTCATTTACCTGTTCTATTTTTTCTGTTTGTAGTTTTATTGCCTCTTGGTCTTCCGTGTTTGTCATTACTTTTGTTTTGTTGAAGTTAATTTTTATACCTTTTTGCAGTAATTTTTCATGAAGTTCATTCAGCATTTCAGCATTGCTGAATGAACTTTATGAAAAATCATTCCAAAAAGGCCTAAAGTAAAATAGGTGGATAACGTCTTTTAATTTAACATGGTCAAATGCCTTTGTAAGGTCCACGTAACGTAGATATGCCGGTTTGTTGTATTATGATGATTTTTCTTGCACTTGCCTCATTATAAATGTAGCGTCGGTGCATGATCTTCCGAACCTAAAACTTTGTTGTTCTTCTGCTAGTGTTATAATTTTATTCAATTTATTTGTTATCACTTTGGTTGTTAATTTTAGTGCTATGTTTAACAAATTAATTCCTCTGTAATTTTCCGGGTCTAATAGTATGCTTGATCTCCATTCTTGAGGAATTCTGTTTTTTTCTATTATTTTTTTAATTAGTTTTAATAGTTGATTGGTCAGATCTGGTCCTCCGTACATTAGGAGTTTTTTCGGTATTCTGTCCTCTAATGGTGATTTTCCATTTTTCAATTTCCTTCATGCTTTCTTTAACTCTTCCTTTTTAATATTTATTTCTTCATTTTTCGTGACCTATGGTGTTGGTGGTTCATCATCGTCACCTATAGCAAACAGGGATTAAAGTATTCTACTCATGTTTCCTTCTGAATGTGTTTTTGTGTTCTGTAGAAATCGTGTTCCATCTATTTTAAGAAACTCTGCCAGTGTTTCTTTTTTATTTGTCTAACTAGTACGTAGTAAGCAGCTAGTATAAATGTTGAAAGAGAATATTTTTGTCCCCAAAACATAATCTATAAAGGGAAATTTATGTTCATTTACTCAACACGTTTGGACAAAAATTTATCATTGGCGCAGACTTTAATACTACAAACACTGTATGGGGTTCAAGGTTAATTAATTAAAAGAGTAGAAATTTACATGCAGCAATAGAAAAAATAAATGGAAAATGACACTCGAATGCAAAACCCATATAACGGCCCACTTATAAAAATAAAACACTGGACTTTACTGACTTGTAGTAAGTACTTACGTTACACCTCGATTTTCTTCTGTAGCCACATCATTCATGACAGATATTGCTATACTAAAAAAGGCAAGTGGGCCTCCACACACCATAGCTGGTATTGCTCCGATCAGCATGTAGTATGGATTAAGCTCATCAAATAATAGGATAACCACATATGAAAGAAATCCAACAGAAAGACCTAAAAAGGTATATTATTAATTAACGATAAATAATTTTCATTTTTTAAGATTTATTATGATTTATATTTACTGATGAATTATTCGTGTTTTTATATTATTACCCTTTACTAGACTTAGAAGGTTTAATATTTTGATTGTAGCCTTTAATGTGATCCTGACAGACCTGCTACTCTTTTGTAGTAAGGTTGGCCTCATTATGTCGTATTTCTCGTAGTTATCTAGATTTATAAACTATTTTTTTAACAACTGTAATTTTTTTGTGTTTATTAAACTTTATCCAATACATTAAGTTAACTTGTAAATAATTTGTTTTTAAATTTTAGCTGTACAATGTTTATCTAATACAAAATTAATGGGAAAAACCCCGTAATTGGCTGTATACCATCGTTTAAAAAAACACAGAAGTTAAAACACTTCACAATTGTGTATTTTGGTATAAAAACATACAAGTACTTAAAAACTTTTTAAAAAAGTGTGGTCAACATTTAAAATTATGGCAGAACGTTTTCAATCTCTACAGATCATCTTCAGTGCCTTTGGTATTTGGTGCTAACAATAAGGTGTCTATAAGACTTCCATGTGTGGATTTAAAAATTTATCACATTTTACATTTGATAATGTTGAGAGTCTAGGTCGATGACAATGGAATTGTTTTTAAAATTAATTTTAGGAACTACATGTCTCTTAAGCTCGAATACTTGCACGTGGTACTTGTCAGTTGAAACGACGACACAGACCAAAATCAAAGTCATTTGTTTTTAACGATAACTGTTTAACGGTAGGCATTTTATTTGATAGGTCACAAACCATTTTATACCGTAAGAGGTTTCCACACTTTGAAATTTAAGAATTTTACTTTGTGTTATTTATAATACAGGGTGAAATGATAGAGTGACCATGCTTGATATGGTTAGTTGATATCAGATTGTTTAGGACAATTAGACAGAATATAAAATTGATGCAAGCAGTTTCATTAAAAACGAAGATTCTGGTCCATAATAGACTTGCGTGACTCAACTTGTACATCTAAAATTTATCTTTAAAAACCACACATTTATATTTAAAAATTAACGGGTTTTAGTTTTTTTTATAATTTTTTTAAAATAAAGCACAAATAAATATATTACATAAGTGGTTTTTACACTGTATAATTTTACTCTTTATATTACTTATGGCAATATTCTTGTCTACCTTAGATTTGTTTGTTTTTAAATTTTATTTAATTAGTTAAATTTTTATTTCAATCTTATTCCTATAATGAGTGATGAGGCGTTTATCATCTACAAAGTATAAAATTTAACGAATATCTGTATGATTATTTCATTAAGTTAATCGATTGCTCTTTTCGCCGTTTAATTACCCACAATTCGGAAGAATATCATGCTACATGTTACACAACCTTGTAGTATCTCGGCATTTACTTATATTTTTTTGAAGTATTATATTAGTAGCTTTCTTTTTTTAAAGTATTAAATAAAAAGTTGTTTATATGAAACATGTAAACTGATCTCTATTGCATTATCCGTTGTTTAAAGTAAGTAACCGAAATTAAATATTAAACTAAAATCTTTACTCACTAGCAAGCGTGAAGATCAAAGCAGGTCTTCTTCCATGCTTGTCTGACCAAGCGCCTACTCCCAGAGAAATTATAATTGGCAGAGATGAGGGAATCATTTCTGTGATAGTAAGAACATAAGTAGATTTAGACTGTACTTTCTTTTCTAATTCCTGTGTTGCGTCATCTTTTTCCCATCCTAATCGCGAACAATTTTCTTTTGGGTAGTTTTCCAAAGTATAGCATGTTTTAAATGAAATCAAGTTGGTCACAATTCCAGCTAGAACATAAATAAAACTATTAAGCTATATACTACTTATTAAAAAAGCATCCATATTGGGAAGATGCATAGACTATTGTAAAAATTTATGGAAATTATTTATAAATAAAAAAATAAATAAATTAGTATGTCACTCGATTACAGAAATATGACAATATAGTTTAAAACTCAAATTAAAGACAAGATGGAAAATCTAGGTGAGGTCTCTCATCTGGTTGTTATGTAAGGTCTTACTACTCAAATACTACTAAAATAAACAAGCCGGAATGTCTAAAAAAATGTATATAAAAAAATTCCTACCTAAAATATTGCTAGAAACTCGCACAAACTGAAAAAGAAGGCATACTCATATAGGGGAAAAAATTCAAAAGGTAAATGTTGCAGGGAGAAAAAATTGTGAAAATTATTTATTTGGTTGGCGAAAAACAAAAGCATATGGTGCTAGATATCTAAAGGTATTATAAGTTTATTATAATTACTGAGCCAAATCTTTTTGATAATAGAATGAAAGTGAGAATAGTTATAGATCCATCGAGCTCATGGACAGATTAAGGGACATTTTGGTATGTAAATCATCTAGAATATAAAAGGAAACCGTTGTATATAATAATACTGGCTAAATTTTATCAAGAAATTCCCAATACTGACTAGCAATATTCGCTTATGTCGCACTACACTTATTTTTGTTGTTTTTTAATACGTGAAATTATTACTTGGAAAATAAGAAAAAAAACATTGAAAAGTACAAACTTGGACGAAATTTTTTTAAAATGTATCAACATAATATCATGCCGGTTAGTAGAAAATTTATTAAAGATTAAAAGAATATATATATATATATATATATATATATATATATATATATTATATATATATATATATATATATATATATATATATATTAAAAAGGGAAATATATGCTTTGGCGAGGAACTAGACATAAAAAATAGATAGAACACAATGAAATTTGAACATTAATATTTTCTCATAATAATCTCTATGTAAATAATAGCAAGCTTAATATTATGACAATATTAATACTAATTATACAGAATTACTTACCATACATCATAAAAGCAAAATATACCAATAGAAGAGGGATTTCTACCGTGAGTTTATAATTTGAAAATATTTTTGGTGCCATATTAACTACTATTTTATTCCATGTGGCGTATGAACCAAATAAGAAATTGTATATATATATAAGTATATTTTCAAAAGATAATAGTTAGATAATAAGTAATGATTAGATGAGTAACGCGGGTATTATAGGTAGGAATCTACAAATTCGCCATCAATTTATTTTTGTAAAATTTCGTTTACAAATTATTCTGCTAATTAAACTACAGGTGTCCTTATCTTATCTTTCAACAGGTGTATACAACGTATTAGGAATGCGTTATCAAATAAAACATATGATATTGTGACCGTAGAAAAATTATTAAAGACACTAAACTAGACGAAGTGAGACAATATTATCTATTTTGACATACTGTCATATACAAAATACATACAAAATCTTTCTCAAATCAAGAATTATATTAAGTAATTTACAGGGACATCTGATTAAAATGTGCTATCGAAAAATGCATAAAATAAGATTGAACAGAAATTACAGAATAACACTAACATCTTAAATTTAGTAAAAAAGGTAGAATAAATATTCCAAAATCCGAATCCCCGCCTAGTCCGTTTGTCAGAGTTGATCCCTAAAAATCATACGAACAAGCTAAATTTTGCAGAGAACATTAATTTTAGAACCACAAAAAAAATGCAAAAAAGTTTACCACTTTTATCTCCAGGCTTCCTACCAAAACCCCCTGGCAGAGGGGTAAAAACGAAGAAACGAAACGAAAGAATCTGTAGATCTTGGAAAAAATCTTTCAAATTAAAAATTTAGCTGACATAATTATAAATAAAAATGTTTATAGGAATTATTGTGTAGAATGAACCGTTCTTTTAGAAACAACGCTTGAAGTGACCGTCGATTTTGCATGTCAGTTACGCGCGCGAAATCAATGTTCAATAAAATTTGTAGAGTTACGGTAAAAATTTGGTATCTTTTGATCAAAATGTCCTATGTCCTTGACAAAAGTCAAGATGCATTTTAAAGGCAAAGTGTGCAGCTTTCGTATGCAGTTTTTGTATTTTTCCGACAATAATCTCAGTTTTTATAAAGGTGTTAATTAACGTAAAGCGATTTTTGCCATTTTTTATGATTTTCGTGAGATCAATAAAATTGATCACTTTCATGGACCAGTTGTAGTATTTGAAATATAAATAACAAACACAAAAATTTAATGTTTTACATTTTATACAATCACACGTCACGGTAAAAGCATTTAAGAAGACGGTTTTGCGTAAAGTTTATTGCAGATTTTTTTTAAACCCACTAGTGTTTAAAATGCTTTAGACCGTTTGTTGTGTGAAAATTTAAATTCAGCGTTTTTAAGCATATTCCAAATGGCTTATATTTGTCGCCAAAATTCAAAACCTGAATTTCATGCTATAAGTTTTAACGGTTAGGCACTAGTAATCAAAACTTCATATTGGCCAGTTAATGAAAGATATATATATATATATATATATATATATATATATATATATATATATATATATATATATACATATAATCAGAATTCATTAATCCATTTAACACCTGTATAAAATCTGAGCTTATTTACGGCAACATACAAAAACTGCATACGAAAGCTGAACTATTTATGTTTAAAATGCATTTAGATATTTGTCGATAGGACATTCGGATTAAAAGATATAGAATTTTTACCGTCAAGCTGATATTAATTTTATTGAACATTGATTTCGCGAGCGTAAAGGCCCGTTTTCACGGGTCGATCTGGGTTGAACGATTTGGATCGTTCGACCATATTAATTCAATCTGTGCCGAAACCAAAAAGGTTTACACGACAGTCAATGGATGTTGAAATAATTGTAGTACAAAATCGTGTCATGTGAAATTTTTAATGTAGGTGTCCAATTAATTTTTTATGCAATTCGAGAAGAAATTGCCAAATCAAACAAAAAGAAAAATAAACGAATGTGGTGGATCCGACCGTGGATTTGAAGACGAAATACTCATGGTGCATCACAAAGCCTTTTTCAAGAAATGGTTGTGGAAAATCTAGAGGCTTATAGAAATCATCCAAGAATGGATAATGCAAATTTTAAAGAACTTTTAGAATAAACCGCTGAGAAAATTAAAAAAAAACGATAACAATACGCGTAAAGCATTACCGGCAAGGCTGAAATTGCAAATAGCTTTTCGATTTCTATCCACTGGAGACAGACAGCTATGCGTCACTCAAAGCCTTGTATCGGGTACTAAAATACATTGCAACATTATTATGGATAATCGTCGTTTTCATTCCTAATACTTACCAGCGCTGCAGCTAGTAATACTACCGCAATAGCTAATACTACGGCAATATCCGGTATTGCCATAGTATGTGCTGGGATTTGTGGCGGCGGTGAACAAACTTTACTCAACTGCGTATTCGAAAAATGATAATCTCTTGATGCGGTCATATGTTCAAAGAAAGATTCATCGTGATATGTTGATAATGTCGTTGAACTTAAAGACTTTAGGCGTTCTTGTGTTAATGTATTCTGGACCTGTTGTTTAATTTCTAAAGGTCTCTGCAGCGGCAACAGTCTCAGTTAGTTAGCAATATTTTTCCCAAATATTGCAAACTCATATTCGACGTTTGAGCTCTTCGAGATCTCCCCCAACTTAACAAATGCTCGATTGACTAAACTTGTGTTAAAAACCTCGCATATTTTTCTTTTCTGTTTTTTTTTCCTATTAAGCCTGTTTTCGGAGTACTATGTGCAATTTCAGCGGTAGTTCTAGTAGCAGACGTTGACGGTAAAAACAACAAGTTCATACACGCTAGAAGTACTCTACTTAGCTTTCGGCACGTTCTGTAAAAACAACAAGTTCATACACGCTAGATGTACTCTACTGAAGGCGCGTTTTCACGGGTCGATCTGAGTCGAACGATTTGGATCGACTGGCCGTCGACTAATAAATCGAAAGCAAATTGAACATGTAAACCATAAATCGACTTGGCGACTAGGCGATTCCCGCCGAATCGATGTCGAAAAACTGGAATAATAATTTTTTAATAAAATAGATGTTAGAAAATAATTATTTTTGTTTTCCAAAAACAAATTGTCATTAGAACAGGCAATTTTCAAATGTGTTGGTTTTTTGTATACATTAGTCCCATATCCACTATTTTACTTTGAGATTAAAACATCCAGAAAAGGAGTTATTTTATTTCTTTTCCATTGTAAATTTTATTGACTCAACCTTTTACCTTTTATTTATATCAATCAGAAATGTATCCAACACATCATCTACATATTTTCAACATATTGTGGACTTTAAATTTTAATTAGGAATGGTTGTTTTGAAGTCTTCCATCAATATATTAGCTAATAATGGATTTAAAGCACAGTCCAAAAAATTTGGTTTATAGAAATCATTATTTAGATAAAAATAAGTGTTGTCCGTAGATCATGTCAACAGTTTCATTATAGCTGATACATTTAATTTGGTCCTAATTGTTTTCAAAGTTTTATCTAAGAAAATACCATCTTAAGGGTGCATTTATAAATAGACTATTTATTTATGTAAAACTTTACTTCAAAAATATTACATTTACAAATCAATGTACCAAATTATAATAACATTTAAAAAATATAGATAATTTTAATACAATTTGTGATTTTTTTCTCTATCAATTACAATTAATTCAACATTCATCGACTGTCGTGTAAACCTTTTTGCTTTCGGCACAGATCGAATGATGGTCGAACGATCCAAATCGTTCGACTCAGATCGACCAGTCGTTCGACATCGATTCGGCAACGATCGCCTAGCAAAAGTAGACAGTCTTTCTAAAGGCGCGTTTTCACGGGTCGATCTGGATTTAACGGTTCAGATCGATTATTAAATTGAAAGCAAATTGAATATGTAAACCATAAATCGACTTGGGCATTCGGCGGAGTGATTCGATTCGACGGAAGTAGAACGACTGTCTACTTTTGATAGGCGATTGTCGCCGAATAGATGTCGAACAACTGAAATCGAATGTGTAAACACCTCGTTAAACAGAAACACAACGTGCCGAAAGCTGAGTAGAGTACTTCTAGCGTGTATGAAGATGTTGTTTTTAGTGCGACAAGCTGTAATTTTGAGAAAAAATGGCTGAAAAATGGTCAGGTGCAGACATGGCAAGATTTTTGGAAGCTTATTAAAACTATGATATAGTATGGAATCCACAAACTAAGCTTTATCGCAATCTACAAGCGAGGCAAGCAATTCTACATATGAATTGATATCAATAGACCCAAAATGTCTGAAAATGACTTGAAAAATAAAATCATCAAAAATATTACAACAACATACAATCGTGCATTGAGCAAAGTATTGAAATCACTAAAGAATGGTTCTGGACCTGACGCCTTATATGTACCGGTTTTAATTTGGTTTAAACATGCTGATAGTTTTCTGAGAACAGTAGCGATAGCAGAGAGAAAAAGCCAGTCAAACCACCATTTTGGACTACAATTATGGAATTGATTGGATTGGATTTTTGGAATTATGGTCGAATGATCCAAATCGTTCAACCCAAATCGACCCGTGAAAACGCGCCTTAATCCGTCGAATCGACTCACTCCGCCGAATGGCGGAAGTCGATTTATGGTTTACATATTTAATTTGCTTTCAATTTAATAATCGATGTTAATCGTTAAATCCAGATCTACCCGTGAAAACGCGCTTTAACTGACATGCAAATTCGCCGGTCATTTCAAGCGTTGTTGTTTCAAACAAACTTTTGTTTTCAACAAACAATTTATTATAATTTTTATCACTACAGCTGTTTTGACAGAACGTCTTTTTCAAGTGATCTTTTTTTTTTCATTTAAAGTAAAAAATACACTTAAATTTTAAGCTAATCAGTTGCTAAAAGGAAAGAAACCGTGGCAGGTTTGAGGGAGTATGACAAACAGTTCATTAGAAATATCATTCATCGTTTTCATGAGACTGGACGTTGTCATTTATCATTAAAGCTTTTGCACAAAAGGCTTAACGAGGTGTACGAGTGGACTGGAAGTTTGAGTTCTCTCTACAGAAATGTGAAAAATTTAAGATTTAAATAGAAGAAAACGAAAGATAATCGACGTTTATTAATTAA